GAAGTGAGGAGCAACTTTCAAATACGATAGACAGATATGTCCGTAGCAGTGGACAGTAACGAGTACACACAGCGGTTGGCGAATGAACACTCGAAAATGAGTCACTGCGAGAAACTTGCTTGCTTGCTGTTTCTGCCGTGATTAAAGAACATTCGTCAACAACAAGTGCATTCGCCCTTTTCTCTTAAACTGGTCCTTTTCGTGATAAAATAATCATATCGCAAAAAAGTTGTGCAAGTGAAGCGTCTGACATAAACATGTGAGCTAGCACTACTTCCATGTGATTGATTATTTCCACTGGTTGGTAAATATGATGTTAATCGAAAATTTTCAAATGCAAAAAGAAGAATGGCGTCGACACATCAATCGAACATTTTACATGTTTTCATTTGCTGAACGCTAAATTTTGCCACTTAATGAATAACTTGAAAATGCTCCGCCAAGATGAGAAGAGTACCATATGAATTCAACGATACATTTGCAACGAACAAAAGTAATGAAATTTCACTGAGAAAGTTGCGCTTTTTCAGCGAGGACATCGACGAGTGCAGCTAGTTTTTGGTATCTGATTTTTGTGTCTGCTGCACATCCTTTGGCACCGAACAAAAATCTCAGTGCAAATTCGGTACTCAGAAAATTATCAGCATTTGTCACTGATGAGGCGTATTGTTGAATGGCTGTTGCTCGTTGAAATCGATCTGAATGAATGCACCATTCTCGACCCATTTCAAGCCACTTCCACAAACTCTCTGAAAAAAAAATTGAATTTCGCCCAAAATTAAATTTTTTAGATACAACTTTAAATGATAAATCCCAAAAATTCTACTGAATATTTCTGAGAAAACGCCAATGCTATGATTAGTATGATGATTTTTAAAGTTGTGCTCATCCCTTGAGTAGTTGAATACTGTAATTTTTTCGTACAGTTTTAATGCAAATTACTCGAAAGAATGCAAATTACTCGTTCGTTTGAGAATTGCTGAGGGAAGCAAAAATATGTATGATTATTGTGGTATGAAATTCGAGAAATTTGCAATGAAACTAACCGATTTGGGCACTCAACGAAGT